GTTTACGCGAAGCCGCGTAAGGTATGCGAGAAGGTACCGTAATTGCGTTCTGTCAGCAGATAGATTTACGTTATCGCTTGAAGATATGCGTCTCTTCCAATGTCAGCTCGCTAATCAAGCGATCACCATATAGTTCATCATGCATTGGCGAACTCCTTAAGAAGTAGCATTTTCACTCCGTTTACCATTCTTGACGATAATTATAATTTATTCGATTAATCATTTACTTTTAAACGCGTTTATTCTTTCTTTATGATTATATGAAAGTGAGAATTTAGAGATTTAAAGTTATCAGAAAAAAAAACAAAAATTAACAATATAAATATAATTTATAAAATATAATTACAATAAAAATTACCATAAAAATTAATTACAATAAAAATAATTTTAAGATTTTGGAACGTATTATTTAATTATTCTAAACACAAGTCTCTCTTTCTTTATTCTATCGTAATTATTTATACTGCAGAGTGAAAAAATGATTGAAATGACCATGATTTAACTATAATTTCGTGTCATTTTCGCCAATTAAATATTTTTTTGATGAAACTATAAAGATAATTATTAATACTGACATTATAACAGTTATATAACTATATATATAGAGCTTTTAATCATAATTACTTTACTTACTTTACCGTACAACTATATTATCACAAATCGATATCACAAATATCAAATTTTTTTTCTCTGTGTTTAACTCCACAAAAATATAATACGGTCTAATGATTTTTGCGTCATAATAAATTACAATAATTATATACTATACAATCGACATATATAGGCAGTTGAGTTAATAATTTTGTTTTAGTTTTATTATCATTTTTTGAGTTTGCGTGAAAGTGCAAAAAATGTGATACATAACTAGGAGAAAGTTTGTCAAAGATAAGATTTATTTTCTCTCATGCGTCTCAAAACCGATCGGACCAGACGTAATTTGAATAACGGAGTAACATAAAAGTATGTGCGAAAGAACGATATGGTGAAAAGAATCCTCGTCCATGGAAATCGCACGTGATTAGATACAGTTTCCGTGTTACGTCGCTCCACATGATGGACGTTGCTGTTTATTTCGATATCGGGATTACCTCGAATTTCCATGAAAGAGAAAATAACGCCACAACGTTATTGTCCCCGTAACGGCTATTTCCATTTGCAGTCGCTTTTCTCGAATAAACACGGTAGTCGTCTCGGTACATTCATGCATTCTGGAAAATTTTCTCCGACGATAAACTCGGACAAATAATACAATCCTTACATAATTGGATTTCAAAGCAGATAAATTCGAAAGACTGTAAAAGTTGTATATTTATAGAATAAAATACAACTTTTAAATTGATAAAACTCAATTGTTTCAATTATCTAAGAGATATTGCAGAATTATTTTGTTAACATTTTACAATCTCTTTTGAAATTCCACACATATTTTTAGAACATTTCCGCATTGGAGATAAATACGAATTATTAGCTTCAGGCCACGATAAGTAATTATCCGCTCCTGAATCAAAGAGATTAAACAGATCGTAAAAGACGCAAAAGAAGTTTATGTTTCATTAGGTAGGCGGTAAATGGATTAATAAATATTTATATGAGAGCGTCATGAATAAATAATACGCTCACCTAAGTACGAAAAGTGTGAGCACCGCATGACGGAAAACACTAACAAAGGAGTATAATTATGGTGCGTACGTGCAATTTTAATGATGTCATTGGAATGCGTCATCTCTACAAAGAATCGCATTATAACGCTGTTATTCATAGTTAAGATTCTGTCCTGTTAACCATATCATATTTTGCGGTAATAATTTATTAATTTCTTATTTCTTACAACTTATGTTACAAACGTTGAAAATTTTGAAGCTAAAAATTTAATTAAAGCAGTTAAATACATCTCTACACTGCCAATCAATTTCATATATCAGAAGTTGCAACTATATATAAAAAGAACGGTTTCGTTAAAGTAACTAAAAATTTAAAAGCTAGATATAGATCTGAAAATAACTTTGTTAAATCATCAAAATAATTATGCCCAGTAAGCAAGAAATATTTTAGAACATTTCAGCAACATCGCAGCAACGTTGTAACGTCCAGGTTTTATGCTAACTACGCTTTGCTTACGCAGCTTATGTCATTTTGTGTGTGATGGCACTTAAGCTGCAAAAAGTTTTGACATTCTAGTAACCAGCTTATGAGCGTCCTACATAATTATTTAGATGGTCCAAAATTATTTTCAGATCTATATCAAGCTAAATTTTTAGATACTTCAGCAAAAGCGTTCTTTCTATGTAGGCTTCGAAAATATTTACTTTACTGAATCTATGTCTCAATAAGCCAATTTATTTCTTTAATATATCTTTTGGTTAAACAAATCCGCATCGCGAAACGGTACAGCCGTTTGGATGAAAGCAACAGATTCCCATGAATAATTCATCGGATTTACCGATGGTTGCGTGGGCAACTTCTCTTCCTCCTTGCCTTTTTGCAAGAGCTTTCGTATGGAGTGGCAAATCCCTTTCGTCGTGAGACGCGTTACGCAAACGTGTGTCCGGAAAAATTGTGTTCGACGTGTTCGCCATTCCGACGCCGGTGTCGTGTGACGACGAAAACATCTAATTCGCGAATCTATCATTTACGATTTATTAACAAAGATTTATTTAAGAGGTTTACGAAAGTGTCTTGACACGGAATTGGACCTCTTTCCATTTTAATATCTTTCTACGATTTTAAAAGCAGCGAAACTTTGTTGTCCAAACAACGGTTTTACCGTTGCGAGGAAAATTCGTGCAACTGCTGCGAAAAATTGTTGCGTAAATATTGTTCGGTTTTTTTTTACACGTTTACCATATAAAAGTTAAGTTTGGTAGAATTCACACGTGCACGTCTTATGTCGCGTGATATGTTTTCCCCGCTTACAGTTATAAGACTTCCATTATTATAATCGTTCGCTATCGCGTCTTTAGAAAATTGGATCATCTTAAGTAACACCGCATCGATAGGAAGTCAGCGTAAGGATGCAGTGCATGAAGTGTTGGTAGTAGTAACGAGTAAATATGTAGGGAAAGTTCAGGCAAAGCGAACGCCCTGAGCAAAGCGAATATTTTTTCTTTTTGCTTATCTATCTGAGATAATGCTATGAGTTTCTAAGTCTGTTAAAGGTCTTATTAAAAAAAGACAAAGAGTAAGTTGAACCGATATTAAAGTTAATCTACATTGATTGAAATGGGCATTAGAGACTCATAGCGTTATCTCAGATGAAAGTGCGAAACAACATATGGTTGCGCTCGTTTGTGTTTAATAGAGAAATAAAGGAATTGTGTGTTTTCTTACGATTTTCGTGAAGGTAGGTACGTATGCTTAATTATTAGCAGTAATTGTTTCTTAATCAGTGTGAATGATTTTTTATAAGAATTCTTTAAATGTATATTTAAAGTTAAAATTTTTCACTTGTTGCTTAAACTTAGTTTAACCTTTCCAAATTAACGCCAAGTAGGTTCTTTGGGTAAAGTAAATAGGGGCAAAGCCAATGGCCCATCCTCTTTACCCGGTATGTGATTGCACTGAAAATACGGGGAAGACGAAGGAGCAGATCATCTTTCGAGTGAACATGATTGTTTACATCTCTCACTTTTATTTTTTTTTCCACAACGCAGTATGATGTGTGTTCTGAAGAATACACCGACTGACTGTCCGAAGACTGGATCCAGTGCAGTCAGTACATCAATGGGCTCGTGAAGGCTGCTCTACATATAGAGGATTTGGCAGTTACTTTTGCGATGACTGCCGACACTGATTTTGATTTTTTAATTCCATCCTCATTGCTCGAGTGACTCATCCACTTTGCCCAGGGAGATCGGGTTTCTCTTTTTTTTACGTTTTAACTAAAAAGACATTTAGATGTTCAAGTTTTTAAATTTAATTTCATTTTATTTCAAAGTTGATTATTTTTAATAGAATTATGAGAATAAAAAAGGTTTTTGTTTTTAATTTTAACTGTGTCATTTTCCTTCCCAAACCTTAACATATCTGCTTTGCCCGGACTTCCCCTATTATTTTCGGTTAAGTCTCTTTCTGTAGGACTATCTTACATCTTTCTTATCGCCTTTGTCATTTTTCGTATTATCAATAAGAGATCTATCATAAAAGTTGCAAGAAACGCGAACCTCTTGGGTATAGCCGAAGTCTATAAGAAGATGATATTATGGAGATATTACGAGATAATATTTAGGATGTACGTGAAAGGTTAACTCGAAACCGGTAAGATATATTAATCCTTTCAATAAGATCGATCCATTGGTGATGGACATTGCGTGACGATTAACTGGAGTGCTTATATAATTTCGCGTCCGGGAAATTGTCCCTGAAGAGGAACGATTTAGAATACCCAGGAGAAGAACAAAAGAACGGAGAAAATTTCCGGAGAAATGTAATTAATTTTCGCGGTGCATGATGAAGTCGATGTTTATAATGAGACTGTAATCGTTAGCAGAAGACATATGTTGTCTTAATCCTTCCGTAATATTCTAGGTATGACATACCTGGCTACTGTAGTAGCAGTTTATTAATTGTTGATATATATTAGATACATTGAAGATATATTTGACCGATATTGAGTCAACATTGTGCTAGTAAATTGTGCTATACTAGGATATAACTTTATATGCTATAACTTTTTTATCAATAAAAACACATACATTTGCTTGTTACCATTATAGTAATTTTTAATGTTTCAAAAAAATTTTTTATAATATATTTATTTTTTATACAATATTTTTACACAATACTAATGTTTTATTTCTATGACAAAACGTATAGTGTGGCACCAAATAATTAAGTGTAATTAAACAATAAATTGTTATAAAGAACTCTCTATATTAAAATAATAATGTAATAACAATGTAATAATAAAAATAAAGGTTAATAAGAGTAGGTGTTTTTATTAGCATTTATTTCTATTATTACATTATTATTTTACTTATAATTAATAAATTGTTAAGCTTGCATTAATTCGTACGAAATTGTTTCTTTCTTTTCATTAAACAATGGATCGATATTGTAACAATTGATGCGCTGCACGCGAATTGGATACCTGATTCGTCATAAGAAACGGCTCTCCGGAGTCCGCCCTGTCCTCTAATAGGGTGAAAATGCTGTTGCTGGTCTAGAGGTGGCGGTTGGGTATTTTGCAGCTGCAGATGATGTTGCTGGGAAGATGGATAGTGGGTGGAAGCATTTGTCGCGGCGGAGACGCTTTCTGGTAGTTGCTGATACTGGCTGCCCTGATACTGACGAGGATGATGCGGATGGTGGTGAGGGTGAGAATGTGAGTACGGCGTGCACCAGGTGTAACACTGCTGCCAAGAAGCGGCCGGATCCGCACCGGCCATTCCCTCACCATCCTCGTTCCCCATTCGCGTCCAGTCACAGGAATCCATTTTAGATTTGACAGTAGCTTTTTTCTTCTTAGAAGTGCTGTACGGTATATTGAGTCTGAATAGTTCTCACATAATCACTCTCTATTCAGAGCAAAATTGACGCCATGTTTGAATTCGACTTGCATTCAGTAATTTGCTATTTCGTCAAATTCCACCAAACTGATATCCGTTAATTTCGATGATCATTATTCACTTTCAGAGAGAAATAATGGAATACGTTTTTTTATTACTTAAGTAAAATACGCCTTTACCTTTAATTATTATTTATTTGTCCAGTATTCATTTGGTTCAGTTTTGCATTGATGTTGCAAGAATTAACATCAATTTTCAGTGAGTTTGCATTGCGAAATAATTCATTGATGATTTAACAAGGATTCACTTTTGTCGTTTCGACTGCAATTTTTGTCACGATGCATTTATAATCTTCTAAGTTTCATCAGTCGCAAATCATACATATTTTGTCCAGTTTTTACATTCGCATGTTGCCACTGAATTATCTACGAATTCTGTAGATGTACATAAAAATTAATGAATTGAAAAAGCTCTTTGATATAAATAACCACATAAACAAACATACTCTCCGTAATATTTCATCCAACCTCGCGAACAATAACAGAGTTTAAAAATATATAATAGATTAAATATATTTCTTTTTCTAAATTTTTTGTTTATTTAATGAAATACATAAAAAAGCAAAATTAGGAAGCAAAATAAGAGAGAAAAATTTTTATATTTGCATAGTTTTTCTCATTTGTGACCTATTTAGAATTCATAACATTAGTATTTTTTTATTATTTTTTTTGTAAAAAATTAATTTAAAAAATTAATTTCTTATTTTCGTAAAAAAATTCAAAAAGAGAAAAAAAAATCAAAAATAGTCATATCATTATAGATAACATAATCAATAGGAAAATATTATAAACCTTTGTTTTTTTAAATTATATGTGTGTATCCACATTTATATTATATAAATAATATAACAATGCCAAATTAAAAAAATTAATTACCCTATTTGAAATATAAAAAGCAAAAGTGTGAATGTATTTTATGGCATGTTAATTAATCTATTTTCTTGAAATATCATGTGATAGTAGTCAAAAGGTCACATAATAATGAAAATAAAGCGAGATAAAACATACATATCAATAAAAATATAGATATACATATCTTTGATTTCTTTTACATCAATGAAATTTACAGAAATTGAGTATTAGCTATCAAGGACACTGTATCACGAGAAATTATACAAGTTTTGCATTAAAATTTCGCATACATTTCACATGATGTAAAAAAAAGAGACACTTTAAATATTTCCTCAAGATGAAAAAATCTTATTTGCTTCGAAATTTTTATGCTATTGTGCGATTGAGACGGAGAATCGGATGTATTACGGGTGAGTGCAGCGTAAAACACGAAAAATCATGATGGCGAGGGAACAAGTGTTACGTTCTGCCGTAACTGTCGATTGTCTCCGCGAAAAGAGAAGCTTTCGCTGCGATTTATCTTAGTGATCCACACAACCGCGGATTAAACTCGTCGCGTTGCTGCACGAATTCGGCCAGCTTCTTCGAAGTACCTAAATCTATCGATTGTCACTTTCGTGTCGAGGTCCAAATCGGCGAGATCGCGATCGCGACTTCGATGAATTACTGATAGATGCACCATAATGTCCACAGGTGCGTCTCTTGGTAAGATCAGCAAATTTTACATGCGCGAATGTATCCGTTTCGTCTATAAGGAGAGACTCGCGGGGATCGTCGATGCAATTTCGTACGCACGCAACCCAAAGAGACTCGGCGATGACTGAGACGAACGAAAGCTTCTCCTCCACCTCAAAACGAAAGAGGGTTGAAGGCACGAGGCGCGTCGGTGGCCGATGTCGGGGGATGTGCCCGGGTCCACGTGCATCGGCGGGCACGTTTTCCAGTCACGTGTTCGCCCACAACCCCATTCGAGTATTTCTGGAAAGAGCACTCCGGTGTTAATTCCGAGCCGACAAATGATACAGGTGAACCAAACGGTTAAGTGTACCATACAAAATAAAAGCTCGTTTCCCCTTTTAATAACACTGGTCATATCATAATCATCTAGCGAGATCATAATCGCACTGGACGCGATTATCGATCGACGATATCTTTCTAATTGCCAAATACCTTCTTATTTCTTTAGAAACGATATTTTAAATATTTATAAGTGGAAATTAGACCGACAAGAATGAATCAATAAGAGAAAAAGATCCTATTTTTAGTCGAAACAGATCTTGGTACTTAATAATATTCATATAAACTTACAAATACATTTTTCAGATATTTTAAAGATAGCCTGGATCATAAGTATCCTCTCAGAAAGGATTTCTAATAAAAAACGAAAATGTTTTTGACGTATTTAATCTTATTGAAATCTTATGCAGCATAAAAATAAAACGATATTAAAATTAGATCAATAATTCTTATTTTCCTCCCCAGAATTAACTTATTGTCTTGAGACAAAAATAACACGTATAAATTTAAGTCTATATAAATTCTTACATTAAAATAGATCTTTATTCAATGTTGTAACGCTAGAGTTTGGTACGAAACCGATGTAGGAGATCATTTTATTCCAGATATAAGAATTTTTATTTAAGAATAAAATATTCCTCTGTTAACAATAAATATAATTATTCCTATATCAATAAATTTTATGATCGAATAATAATAGCATTGGATTAACAAATTTTTTTATGGATGTACAAAGCACTCCTAATTTAATGAAAAAGATAATAAAAGCCAAAGAAAGATTAACAAAACATTAAAATTGTTAATAAAATAAATATCATTTTTCAATAAAATTTCTTATTTAATTTTTTTAGAAAAATACAAAATGTTTACGTAAATTTGTGGAGGTGCTTTATGATTGTGGCCAAGACTGTATGAGATTAGACTTGGAACTTGCAAAATTTGCAGGAAAATCGGCAAAAGATGACCGTCGCGCGATCTTGTCGCGGTCATTGATAACCGATGTGACGGAAATAGACGTCATCGAATCGCTTCATACGTATACGGAAAACTATTCGCATACTTCCATTTATGTAAAATCGGTGCAACGTAGTTGTTGCATAACGTACGTACATATCGGTGTATCGATAATCCGCGCATGAGATTACTTCAATGCGTGACAGTTTATCGCCGGACACGTTGAGTTGTCGCAGGTCAGGTCATTTCAGGTCAACGTACTCATACATTCGTCCGTGCATACGTCGTCTCCGGAATTTCTCCCGCTTCCGTAACGTCGCCTTATTCTTTTCACCTGACACTGCATTTGCATCGCGCCAGCGTCGACCGTTCATAGATAAGCATCGTGCATTCAGTAGTCAGTGATAAACATCGAGTAGAATACAAGGTGCCCGTAAATTCGTACGCATTGATTTCCAATGAAATTTTTCATTAATTCGAAATCTTTAACACAGATAGATTATTTGTTATGAACAATTAATATGCAGTATTTTTCTCAATTAATTTACTCCTGCATAAAATTATAATTTGAAGATTAATTATCAAAAATATTTAAAAAACTGAAAAATAGAAAAAAAGATCATATAAAGTTTCCATGACAATAAAATCAATCAAATCGGAAATTCATAATTTATTTTTCACAATGCAGATTTATATTTCATAATTTATTATTCATTATTTATTCTAGACTCATAATTTATTATCTTTCAATAAATATCTTCATTCAGCTTGCTCGAAGATTCTGTATAAGTATAACTGCAACCCCATCGAAAATTTAGCGTTCAAATAGAAATACGGGTGTTTATTACGAGCTGTCTAAACCGTTAGGTTAACGAGCATTCTTCTCATCGTCCATAACCGCCTCGATCCATCAACTGCAGCAATGCTGGGCTACCTATGAACGTCGCGCGCACATCCCTTTGTATTTTCCAGTCGAGCGACGATCGTATCCCGGTAGATGCTCAATGCTTAGACCCGGAGATCGGCATTGATCGGCATAGACCAACTCTGACTCTATCGTGCGTGGTGCAGCATTTGTTTCTTCTCCGATCGATGATTGAGGCAGATGGGTTGGATGGGCCATCGTCTGCCATGCGACAGATAAAAGCCTCCCTCACTCCTCCCGAACGAGACGATTAAAATGTAAATTGATCTGGCGATTCCCCATAGCCCGTCCATCTCCGCCACGCATGAGATAGTTCTTTCGATGCTTCTATCGTTGTCGCTGTATCGCGACTCGCAGAACAATTCGCCTTTGCGACAAGTTGCATCGCACTTTGTCGCGTATTGGAATTAGAAGGTTAATTAGAAAGGAACTATTTGGTTCTTAAATCTTATACAGATAAATTATTAGAGTATATGGTTGTTCGCGAAAAAAAATTTCCCTTAGAAAGACGATCAAAAAGCTCATCGTCAAATTAGTCCTCTAAACTGAGAAAAAAGTGTTTAGTATTTGTGATTATAATTGCATATCATAGTAAAGTAATTGAGGGGATGGGCGGAATAAAAAGACACAATTCTACTTAGGCCCTTTTTCCGGCAATTAGCTTTTTTGTGTAATATTTATCGTAACAGAGAAGTATTATAACATGTAACTTCTTAAAGATATTACGTAAATTCATTTGATATTACACCCACTTGTGTATAATAAAAAAGTAGCGAGTGTGTTATTTTATCTTTTATTAATATCAAGATTTTGTAATTAGGCCCGCTAACCCCCTCAATTATAGTCCATTATTATAAATTTTATAGTTTTATATATTAAAAAGCTTATATGGTTGTCCTCGAAAACGACTATAAAATTATTCTTTTTAATATTTAGAACTATATATAATATTCATATAGCAAACAAAAAACAACCAAACTCAGGGTTAACGAGAGTCAGCGCGAACGGAAGTACGCAATAAATCTTACACAAATAATTTTGTTAAGCCATCCGATGTGATGACCTCATTTTTATTCAAATCTTGAAAACTTGTATGTTTTGATTCTCTTTTGAATCTTCATCAGTAAACTTCACATTCGTCGCTCCAGATGGATTGGACGGAGTTTAAACAAATTATATAAAATGTATTATAGAATGTGTTTAATTGTGAGAATAAAGACA